TTATTTTTGTTCTTTTTGTTTTTATAAAGCATACGAAGATAGGGAAGATTGTTTTTTTATTTTATTTTATTGTATTTTATTTTGTATATTTGTTTAAAGTTAGTTACGTTTTATTTTAAGTTTCATCACTTAAATTTATTCTGATTGTTGATCTCATCTTATTCCATTCATTGTTTTTAATTTAATAATTAATTAATCTTATCTTAACTATATTAGTCATTTAAAACAATTTAAAACAATTTTAGTGAATTGCTTTTTTAACATTAAGGTTGTAAAATTTTATGGTTTTCAATTAAAATTATTTTATATTTTTCAGTTTAATTTATATATATTTATTATATTTTGTTATTGTATATTTTATTATTATTTATTTTATAACTACTGAATTTATTATTAGCGTTATTATTTTTGATTTCAATATTAATCTTAATTGTTATTTACAGAATATATAAATATAATATTATATACATATATATTAAATATTATTAAATATATTAATATTAAATTAATATATTATAATTAATATATTAATTAATTAATATATTAATATATTATATTAAATATTATATATATATTCTTAAATATCAAATAGTAACATTTTTTAAAAATTAAAAACTAAATTAAAATTTTAAATTATTAAGCAGTTTTATTCATTTAAATTTGTATTTATTAAATGTTTCTTAACGTATATTGCATTTTCTTTTTACAATTTAGGTATCCGTATCTATATATTTTATATTTTTATATATATATATATATATTAATAATATATATATATATATATATTTAATATATTATATATTTTTTTTATATATATATTTTTTTTTTCCACTCATATTAATTAAGAAGCAAACAAAATTTAGGACTAGAATAAAAAATCAAGTGCATAATCCCTATTCACCTATGAATAAACTACTTATACTTATTAATTAAGATTATTACATTATATTCTCTAAAATTTATTTATTTTTTTATTATTAATATATTATTGATTTTATTTATTTAACTTTTATGTCTTATAAATGTTTTTTAAACACAATTTATATTTTATTTTCGCATAAATGTTATAATTTATAATCAGGTATATTATTTTTAGAATTTATAACATATTTAGCACGTCATTATGGTCTCTTTATTATTTTATCTTTGTTAAATTAAAAATAATTTAATTTTCTTATATGCAATTTTATCAGCTATAGTTTTAATTGGTTAATAAATGTCTGAAATTTAAAAAGCTTGATTAAATTGTTCAACGAATTTAGTACTTCTCAGAGAATAGTATTTACTTAGTATAAACTGTATTTTGTATATAAAAAAATTATTTAATACATTTCTATTAACAATTTTAAATGTGGTTCTCTTATTGTACTTGTCAGTTGATTTGAAGCAGAAAATGTTAATGAAAATAACATTTAAAATAATACAAATTAATAATGAAATAAGTATAAATGCCCTCAATAATATAAAAATTAGGTAAAATGGCATTTAGTTTATGTATAAATGAATTTTTTTTATTTAATACTATCTTTTTTTATATATCAAATCGCTTTAAACAACAAACTTAAGTTGTACACTTTATACTTGCATTTACCACACTAACACACATAAAAACATAAAAATAAAAACAAAATTTATAATAAAATTGAACAAAAATCCTAAGATTTGTAATAAATATATAAAAATAATAGCTCATATAATTCATGCACAAAGATGAAACAATTAAAAAATTATATATATCTAAAACGACTTGATAAGAAAAAATTATATTTACTTTCTACTTCAATTCACAAAAAACAAAAATTAATAAAAAAAATTTATATATTCATATAAATAAAAATCTTCTACAAAAAGAAAAAAAATAACAACGTGACCATTTTTACAAATATTTAATAATTGTAATTATTATTAAAACAAATAAATAAATAATTATAATAAGAAAAATTATACTATAAATGATTATAAATTAAAACTTTATGCTAAATAAAATGTAATTATTTAAAGTTATTTATAAACAATATAAACGTAAATTTAACTTTACATATATTTTTCTCGTATATTTGATTTGAAAACTACTGAAATAGTATATTATATATATCAAAATTGATTTATCAAATTTCAACTTCTAAATTAAATACTGCAATTTAAATAATAAACAAAAAAAATTGAATATTTTTTATTGAATAGTTTAAAATCAAAACCACATACAAACTAAACTTGAAAAATTTATATTACTAAATAAATCATAAAAACTTATATATAATATATATATTTAATACTTTTTGTCAATATAAAGCATGAACTCGCTCTTAAATCTCAGTGGTCTCATACTAATTTAAATTGCCGTAAGGAAATAACCAACAATAAAAAATGTATAACCAAAAAATATTAATTAAATTATTTTGTATAATTCTTATTTTTATATAATACACCAAAAGTAACTAATAATTAGTTTAATATACATATTGTTTCCAAATATATTTGCAACATATTAATATATGCTAGTTTTCAAACCAATTCGAAACTCGTATATCTTGAGTTTTCGCTCCGGTTCCATTAAGTAATAAAACTCTTTCTCCTACATTATTTTATATACCCTTGAGTTCTAAAACCATCTAAGGCCTATTCGATCTTATGAAATCATTTTATTGATAAATTCCTGCCTAATAATAATAGGAAACAGTAAGGAATATACTTTTCTATTTGCTGAAAATAAATTTTGGGTAAATTCGCACAGAGTCCGCTCACAGTTTCCTCTCTTACACACGTTCATTCGCATATTCGCATATGGTATAACTCATTGAGATTGAATTTAAAATCCTTGACTTGGGTAATTATTGTTTTGTTTACAAAAATTTTAATTGTAAATTAAATCATGTGGAAAAGTTCACTACTATTTCATTTATATCTATGTAATAAATATTTCCAATATACATATTTTTTTGTAATGTTTGCATTATTTTTTTATACTTTAATGTGGAAAAATATAAAAAAAAACTAGCGATAAAATTGAATATACAAAAAGGATACTAAATAGGTAGACAAAGTATAGATGTTAAATCTAATTTGTAGCCTAATATAATTGCTTTAGTTGTTTTAATTAAGAATTAAAATGTTATAAGAAACAAAATAAAAAAAACAATATCATTGAGAAAGTAAAATTTTACAAAATTAATTGAACAGTTACAGTCGAAAATTTAGTAAAAAATATAAAAATTTATGAAAAAAAAATAAAATTTGTTATATATGTAAAAGTTATCAGATTTACTAATATGAACAAATTTTGAGAATTTGTTTCAAATTTTATAATTTTATTTTATCATTTCACACCTTTAAAGAAAAAATAATTTATATAATTTTTATTTTATATTTATTTAGTTAAATATTGAAATACATATATATACAGATATATATACAATTATATCAATTATATCAAAATTCCTTTTATTTTCAAAACAAAGTCGAGCAATTTAAATATAAATAAATATAAATAAACATTGTTTATATTAAAATAAAATATTCAAATTTAATTGATATGTTAAACAGTAAATAAATTTTTAAAATTATTTAACAATAAGATCATTGAAAAAATCATTTAGCTGATAATATTACAAAATAATTATATATATTGATAACTCAATATGATTAAAATAATAACAGCGTCAAAAGATCGACCATGAATAAAAAACCAACTGCATAATATCTATATATACATATATATATATATAATGAAATATATATATATATATATGAAATATAAATATATAAAATATTTATATATATATATAAGTATCCATATATTTCATTATATATATATATATGTGTATATAGATTTATATTTGAATTTAATATAATACAATTTAAGAAAAAAATAATAATAAATAAACTTTTAAAAAACATGTTTGTATGTAAAAAAGAAACATCACAGTGTTAGAACATCTTTAATTACGAAATAAAAACAACAAAAAGATTTTTTTTAGTTTTAATTTAATATATCTGAAATTTTTGTTTTAGAAAACAACTATTATGAAAGAGTACAGAACTAATAGCAGTACTACACTATAAAAGTACAGAGGCTAGGCTAGCTAGCATGGATACTTCTAAACTGCAGATAGAGCAGATGAAGATATGAATCTTTATCTCGAACTGTTATTCAGGGATTTGTTGGCAAAAGTACTCTTAGGTTATGATAGTTTAAGATATGATTAACTATGGACACACACACACACACAGAACAAGTTTGAATAATCACCAAAAGTAAAATGATCTGGTCGAGGCTGACTTGAGATCAGTTACATGTCACATTATTTTAACACTGGACAGGCTTTGTTAAATTAGTATACATACAGAATATCTGGGGGAACGATTGAGCAGATAAGATAATCAGAAGACACTGTGAATTGGGCAAAAACAGATTGTGCATAAAAAAGATTTGACTAAATGCTTACTTTCTCAGTACGTTGGTTTACAGCGTTTTTAGGGGTTCTGAAAAGGCGAATTTTTCGCCTGTTGATTTATTTGTAATGAGCTCATTTAAATGAAAGGTGTTTGTGTGGTAAATTATCATTACCAGCCTTAATGACCAAACGTGCATAATAGTATGTTTCCACTGCCTTCGTTAGACAATTTTATTTGCTTTAGGTTGCTAATGAATTTTGATTAACCATAGAAAAAGAAATTTGACATATGAAACAAAATAGAATTAAATAAAAAAACAAACAACTCAAAGGTGAGAATTTTTTAAAATGTTCATGTTAAAATTTTCTATATGTGTTTGTTTTTTTAGAGTTATGAATCATTTCTCTGCGTTTTACATGATCAATTAATGAAAACGATATAAATGTAAAGAAACAAAAGTTTTTTTTGAAACTCTTTAAAATACAATAATCAATTTATGCCAATGAAAACAACTAAATTTTAATTTAATTACCAAATGTTATTTTGGTCGTGTGCGAGTTTGGCTAAGTTGCGTTCTAAATGAGGGAAATTCTAAGTTGTGCCGGTAATGTAGTGATGTGTCGATACGTGTTGATAAATGGCTAAATGTGTGCAGTGCAAAATATCCCAAAAAATCTCCCATTTGGTTTAGCATCAACTTAGCCTAACTCGCACACGTCCTTTGTATTCAGTAGAAACATCATATAAATCAAATAACCTAAGGCGAAAAATGTGGAATACAACCCTTAAAAATAAATTTCCCACAAGGAAAATTACCAAAATTTTAAAATTTTTGTCGTGTATTTTATATATAAAATGAAAATGTGATATTAAAATCAATTTTATGCAAAAATGTTTGAACATTATTAAATAATTTCTGTGAAAATTTATTACTTAACACTTTGAAGTCAAGACAAATATATCAAATTCTTACATAAGCCGTAATTTTTTCTTTTAGAGTAACCAAAAAATTCTCACAAAGAAAAAATGAAAAGCAACAACAATGCTCTTAAAAACATCAGAGTTAGATTTTATTCGCAAAAAATTTACTTCTTAAATTTCAATGCAGTTCACTAGAAATATATTGCAAAATTCTAGTCATCCGTTAAAATTATATGAGCATTTCATTTACTAATAAATTCAAATACGTAAATAAATAAATTTATCAAAATACTTAAGATAGAAATGCTTACTAATGCTATTCTTATATTTATTTTATTTTCTTTATTTGGACGTGTGCGAGTTAGGCTAAGTTGATGCTAAACCAAATGGGAGATTTTTTAGGATTTTTTGCACTGCACGCATTTTGTCATTTATCAACACGTATCGACACATCAATACATTATCGACACAACTTAGAATTTCCCTCATTTAGAACGCAACTTAGCCTAACTCGCACACGACCTTAAATGATTTAAGTTTCAGTATATAATTTTTATATATATTATTGTACAGAACACAACAAAAATATGAATATATGTTTGGTAGTGTAAACGCCACATTAAACAACTGTTATACTTGTTTTTTCCGAGGAGCAACACTAAAATTATTTTGACATTTCCAGCCATTTTAAAATTTATTCCAGAGTGTCGCAAGTTCAGTGCAGGCGGTAAAAAGTAAAATATAGTCTTTTGTAAATAACTAGGACGAAATCATGTCGGGGATTGCTATAACACGCTTAGGTGAAGAACGGAAAAATTGGCGCAAAGACCATCCATTTGGATTTGTTGCAAAGTGAGTAATTTATACGTACATCATATAGTAAATATATATATATATATATATTTAATTTACTCTTCATTATATACAAATATGTATTTGAATATTCAACAGGCCAGTAAAAAACAGTGACGGTTCCTTAAATCTTATGATCTGGGAATGCGTTATACCTGGCAAAAAGGACACACCGTGGGAAAACGGATATTATAAGTTACGTATGATTTTCAAGGATGACTACCCAACATCTCCACCGAAATGCAAATTCGAGCCGCCATTATTCCATCCCAACGTATATCCATCTGGAACAGTATGCCTTTCATTGCTAGATGAAGAAAAAGATTGGCGTCCCGCTATCACAATTAAACAAGTTCTGTTAGGTATACAAAAACTTCTTAACGAACCGAATATCAAAGATCCTGCACAGGCTGAAGCGTACACTATTTACTGTCAAAACCGTACAGAGTATGAAATGCGTGTCCGTGCTCAGGCCCGCACTATGCCCGCAAAACTAGATTGATTTTACTATTTAACTTTTTAATAATTCACACAATGTTAATTTATTTATGAATACTTTTTAATGTAAGAAAAAAATTAACTTAATACATAATTACTTTATATACTTTTTTTAATGTACACTTAGTTAAGTAAACGAAAAAAATAATGAAAAACGAGACGAAAAACAAAAAATATGTTTTAAATATCTAAATTGACATGTAAAATATTTTAGTTTTTATGTGGTTTATCGCTAAATTTTTCGAAAAAACGATTGCTTTCACCTAAAATGTAGATTCTACGGAACTATCATCTATTAAAAATACTACGACAAAACCAGGCTGAACCTAGTAATTGTTTCAACGCATATTTGTTAAAAGTCAAGAGCTATCATGAATAAAATTATACTTTTTCTCGATTTGAAATGAAATAAATTTGGTAGGCAATAGCTTCTGTCATTGTTGTAACCCCCAAAATTTTTATGAGTAGCTAAGAATGGATGAAATGGCGAATGCGTGAATGAAATAATATAAGCGGTGAATATATGTATGAATATTAATTAAAACAACTGGATCAAAATGAAAGAATCTACTCAACTCAATGTAACGAAGTCATAAATAAATGAAACATCAGTTATTGTAAATTTGAAGGGAACAGATAAAGGAGTCTACGAGTCTGTAGTCTACTTCAAATGGAATAAACACTTACCCACAATAGCTATAAAAGTTTCATCTAAAAACGTAATGCTACAGAACTTACAACCAAAATTATCAGAATGTATCTTCCTGTTGTGTTAAAATAATTACATCGAAAAACAGAAATTTAAATTATGAAATTCAATTTAAGTGCATAATAGTTTAGTGTTAATACAATAAAAAGTTATATATTTTTTATTAAATAAAAGCATTCGGATGTACCAAACCATAACAGTCAAACAAAATTCAAATTACAATTTTTTTTTAGACTTTGGAGTGGAAATTGTTTTCAAGGATACGCGCCGCGGTGTTTTGTTGTTAGGTGTCTGTTGTTTTAAGTTAGGAGTGCTGACTTTTCTAACTTCTTCCGTCTTACTTTGTGCAGCTACAGAACTTTTCTCATCGTTGCTTTCGCAAATTTGATCTGTAGACATTTTATCAGTTGTGTGGGTTTTTGTCGGTGTTTGTGAAAGTTTTTCTTCAATGGTGTCCTCGTAAACGAGTCGTATATTCTCTGTATTTTCAGCAGTATCGTCATTAATAATCAATGTGTTTACAGGTTCTGTAGCATTTGGTGTATCTGTTGCCGTGTTATTCAAAACTGTGCTTGTTTTTAAGTCCGTTACCGGCCATGCATCCATAGCTTCTTCAATTGGCGCAGGTGTCTCTGTAATTGGTATTTCTTTAATGAGAGTACGTGGTGTACGTCGTACTGCAATTGGAGTGGCACGCTTTGCGTTATGTGGTGAATTTGTTTGCTGTAATGAAGACATTGGCGACTTATTGATATCAGTTGCCAAAGTTTTTTTTTCGGTGATAGAATTTATCAAAGTAGGAGTCATACTGTTTGGTGTGCGTGGATGACGCCGTATGCTAATTGGTGTAGCTGGGCGGCTTTTCTTCTCCGGTGACTCGAACTTCTCGTCACTGCTTAAAATTTCTTTATCTAAAATGATGTCGACTGACAAAAGTTTGTTTCCGGTTGTTATAGATTCATTTGATTTGCTGATATCTTGATTGTCATTAATATTTGATGCATTCATTATTTCTTTTGTCGAAGTCTCTATAGAGTTTGTTTGTGTAAGGTCCTTCTTTGTTTGTGCAGTTACTTTTTCTTTTGTCGAATTCTCAATAGTGTCTGTTTGTGTTAAGTCCTTAGTTTCTGATCTAGTTTCATTAGTTTCTTTTACGTTTTCTAGTCGGGTATTTCTTTTTAAAACTTTTGGGCTATTTGAAAAATCATCCGTAGAAGCTTTACGTCCCTTTTGTGTTTGATTATCATTTTCTTTTTGCTTTTTTCTTTTAACATTCACCACTGTTTCAGTCACTTGTAGATTTTCAAGTATCGATTTCGAATCTTCGTATTCCTCACCCAACTCGTTCTTCTCAAATGTTATAAGCGAACAAAAACCATCAGTGCTAGATACAATAACAATTCTTCCATCATGAGACCAAGTTACATCCGTCAAACGTGTGTAATGTATATTTGATACGACAGCAAAAGGTCGATTCTGTTGAGTGTCATAAAAGTAGACTGAACTTTTTGTAGCCACAGCAAATATCATGCGATATGGTAAAGGAATCACAGCTGGATTTTTTTCTACATCACTTTTTCGTAACTTGTAAAGTATAGGACTACAGCGTACTGCAACTGTGTACTGATTCACAAAAGGAAGCATAATGGATGGCTGACGCAGCGCATAACGGCTGAAGACATATAATGTGTTTATTGGACGTACAACGCCATCGTAGTCTGTAATGCCAGACGGTGTTAGTAAAAATTTGCCATCAGGCGTAAAACATAATCTGCGAAAAAATGTTTGCAATGTATCGTCGTGGAAATAACGAATTCGACGCTCATAAAGTTCGTGTCCTTCCAACGCAGGTAACAAACCTTTGCTGATACGATGGATTACTTTTTTGGTTTGTATATCAAAAATACGTAAATGTCTATAAAATAAAGAATTATTTACTAATTTAAGTATATAATAATTTTTACTTTTATAAATATAATAAATAATTTACCTATCAGTGCTTAATGTTGCGATATATTGATTCTTAGGATCCCATGCAACACCTTGTACAAAACCTTTGTGATCATTTAAAATAGAAATTGATTTTCCTTTATTAATATCCCAAATAATTGCTGAATTATCCACAGAACCGCTTACTAGAAATTGAGAATTTGGTGCCCAACTTAAATCATATACATCTTCCATATGACCTCTCAAAATTTTTAAGGTGATCCACACCTCTTTGTCCTGTTCATTTGTTGGGTCTAATATATTCACTGGTTCGTTTTCACTCTTCTGTTTCCATATGAATATCACACTTTCATCATCGCCAGATGCTAATAATTCACCATTCGGTGACCATTTCACACAGTTCACAGCACGCTGATGACGCGATAAGTCAGCAACTAAATCCAAATTTATATCAGAGTCATCTGACATAAGCTCTACATACCATATGAGTACGTGCGTGTCTGTACCGCCTGAAGCTAATCGGTAAAAGGATTTGTTTCCTCCAACCTGCGCTTGCTGTATATCCACACTTAACACTGGATCCCGATTGTGCCAAGATATTTCTGGTATTTTGCATTTCATTGTAGTTTTATCAAAATTATTGTAATTTGTAATTAATAAATAAACACAATTAGGCCCTGCAGTAATTGTGGTGCGCGACAGATTGTACTATGCAATATTTACGCGGCAATATTTTGCGGAGCTGTCAAAACCATAGCAATGCCATGCCTAAATATTCTGCGGAATTTTGTATTTTAAATTTTATTTAAAGCAACATAAAAATAAAATCATACACTGTTTCAACGAAAATATCTTTTATTTTTTTAAAATTAAAATATATAAAAAATAATAACTTTTACAATATATAGTTAAGGTAACTGTGATTTTCATGAAATGGACTAATTTATTGGGAATGGATTCCTCAACTTTAAAATTCAAAATATACTTAAATGTTTGCTTATATCATATTAAATAAAAACATTTATTATAATAAATAGATATAGAGATTTGTAGTATAAATTTTCTTAAACATAATGAAACTGTTGCAGAACCTAAAACATAATTTATTAAAATTTCAACCGCGATTGTATTGCAATACTGTACTTAGCCTAACTCGCACACATCCTAAATGTATTCCATGATAGAACAAAAAAACCCCAATTAGTCTGTGTATATAGCAAAATTGTTACTATATGGAATCAAATGATGGGATAAAAAAACCAATTGGTCTGTGAATATAGTAAAATCGTTACTATATGGTATCAAATGGTTATTCAAACTACATGTGAGACTTTAATTAAATAAAACCAACTGTTAGTTATGAACTATGTAAAGATTGTAGTAATGAAACCAGTTAGGGGAAATAACTTAATAGCATTAGATTAAGCAAAGACCGACAGAAGATATTGATAAAAACAATTTTATAATATTACATATATATACATATATCCTTTACGATGTACAGAATGATATGTGTATTGGCCAAATATCTTGGTTTTGACATGACAGTACCTGTATCCATCACATGAAAGGATTTAATAATATGATCCTTTATCATATACCGAATGTCTTGATATTAATTAGTGTATAGTGTTTCATTTACAAGCTTTACAATTATACGTCTACACAACTCTTCTGCAATGTACTTTCCAATTCTTTTTCGAAAGGTACTGTCATGTGCACTTCAGTTTTACCTTTAAAATGAGTGTCCGGCTCGTAGAATCTTTCTCAAATTTCTGTTATTGCCTTCAGGGGTCTGAAATGAAACCGCTTTAAAGGTTTCCGGAACTTTATGTTCGGTTTTAAGATAGACGGTAATCAACTATAATTTATTGACAAACTTGAATACCTTGGAGTTATGTTTTATAGCTTATCCTCACATAGAGGATGATGTATAACTCATTTAGGTATATTAACGATAGTTTTAAGACATAATCAGGTAAAGAGAAAAATTAAACTAATTTCGTATAAACAGTTGGGTTAGGTTAGCTAGCAGTGAACCACACATAGACCTATTGGTCCATAGCAATACCAAATAGACCGCTAATTCACTATCTTGATTTTGTGGTAGGAATTTTTGTGATTCTATGAGTAATTGAAACAGACCCGCAAAGCATTTTTTAAAGATTATCTAAAGCAAGTTTTTAGACCAGATCTTAAGCAGATTTTTATTAATTTATACTTGCTATTTTTTAAAGCAGATATGTTTTACCCGTTGACACAATCTAATCTCCAGGTACTTTGTCCCCAATATTCTCCTTTGTTACGTGAGGTCTCAAACCTGACCAGTATCTTTCCTTTTATTTTAATGAGGTAGGAAAAACTATGAGTTTTATTCTACTCTCTAACTATGGCTTTCAAGACCACTTTTAAATGCAAGCTAATGTTTTTCCACCATCTTACACAATTCCCATCATTCATTACGCATAAACTTTGTTCCCAGGACATATATACATATTATATAATTCATATAGTACCATTCAGCAATCGAGTGAGACTTAAGTATTAAATGAGTTAATACTTACTTTCGGCTTTTTGTCTCTTTTACTTAATTTACTCTTTTACTTAAACTCTTTTCGCGTGTGAATCATCCGAAATTAACTGTCACAAATATTATGCAAAATACTTATAAGTGATCTATAAGTATTTAAAAACAAATTAAATACATACATTATAAACGTTGTATGTAAGAATCTCGCTAATTTTGAATTTATGACTCTTTGCTACTCTCTAATAAACACCTTTTCTATAGTAATAAACGGTAAGATTCTGATCCAAAGAATTGTGGTTGTCTCATTAAATATAAATACCGTATCATTATAGTACATACTATATTTGACGCAAATTATACTCATATATGTTATCTCTGCTATACTCATGAATACATTACTCAATTCTAATAGTTTGTCGTAAACAGACTATTCGAAATGGAAATCTCGAAATCTATTCTAAGAAAATCCTATATCACGACTTCAAATAATTTTTAATGGAACTCTTTAGAATCATTACACGATTGTGTTGTTGTTGTAGCTCGTAATCTATAAAGCTTATAACATTAGGATAAAAGAATTACAAGACGAATACATGGGTAAGGGGTTTGGATGTGGATCGGTACACTGGTAGTGTGAGAGTGGAGAAAATTATTTGGGAATTAGAATTAGAGATTAGAGAATGTGCGGAATTTAAATTGAACTTAACCAGGACTGAGAGGAAGAAACCTATCTTCTTCTCAGGAGAAGTCTAAAGATCGATTAATTAAAAAAAAAAGATTAATTTAAGAGTTATGAATACAGTATATATTTTTGCATGCTAATATAAAATAACTTAATTATGTCGTATTTGTTGCTGTTGCTGCTGCATCTGTTGTTGTTGTTGTAAATGTTGCATGTGTTGTTGTAACTGTTGTTGTTGTTGCAATTGAAATTGTTGCTGTTGTATGTGTTGTGGCTGCAATTGATGTTGCTGTTGCTGTTGTTGTTGTTGAATTTGTTGCATTTGTTGTTGTTGATGCATTTGCATTTGTTGCTGTAGTTGTTGTTGCTGTTGTTGACTCAATTGTAGTGTCTGATTCGATTGTTGTTGCTGTTGCTGCTGTTGTTGTTGTTGTTGTTGCTGTTGCTGTCCACTTGCCATTAGACCAACATTTAAACTATTCTGCTGTTGTTGTTGATTTGTTTGTTGTGATTGCTGTTGCTGTTGTTGTTGTTGCTGTTGTTGCTGCTGCTGTTGCATTATATTACTTGTCTGAATTTGTGGTTGATTTGCCATATTATTTATATTTTGTGCAGTTGTTATTGCATGATTTTGTGACTCAGAACTGAAAATATTTTGAAAATAACTCTTTAATAATAAATTATTTTATTTAGCAGCACTTATAATGTGAAAAAATCATTAAAAATGTAATAACTAATGTTGTTAAGAAAGATATGAAAATCTTAAGATGAAGAAAATCATGTTTCGCGTAAGGTTATTCTTTATCAGATCTGAAAATAGAATAATATAAAAATATTAATGAATATATATAGCAGTCTACTGTCACTCAAACATATCCTTTACCCCATTCAACATTTTAAGAACGCTTTAATATAACATAAATTACTGTAACTTGTTTTCTTATGTTTTGTATAAAAAGTATCCGGAATGTTAAGCATACAAAATAATCACCAATTAAACAAAATTTGTTGTATCGCCTTCAAAGATTCACACTCTATCGAATGCAATACAACTATATAAGCGCTGAAGCCAATATTTCTTACATTTTTCGTACGTTAGCATTAACAGATTCAGGTATAACCTTCAACTCATTCAGTCAAATTTTTTTTATTATCGCAATTGACTAACAACACATATATTTTACCAAAGTAAGTCCCAATGTGCGTATTACAACTATTATAGTATATTGTAACTCTTGACTCGACATTTTTACTAAGCTAGTTGAGTTATGACTCTTAATTCTTTAAGGTAATTTTCTTTAATGACAATTGTAATCGATTCGAAAGTCCTTTCTCGATGTAGCTCTGTAAGCTCCAGAAACGGAAAAAAATCATATGGGATCATAGTAGATGACTGTTTGGGATGTGATTTTCAACTCCTTCAGCCATTTTTTTTTATTGGCACAATCGACTTGAAACATATTTATTTTACCAAAGTACCACCCAACTTATTATTACAACTACTGTAGTATATGGTAACACCTTCATATACCTCCATACACTTTCAACTCATTAAGCCAATTTTCTTTAATGGCTGCAAGCAATTCGAAACTCTTTTTTGGAATTGGTAATCGTTGTATTGCGAATAGGTAAAAAACATATGGAAGCATGCCATATGAAAAAATCCTAGTGTAAACATAATTAGTAAAAGATCACTCTCAAATCTTGCATGATATCACAGTACATCATATCCACCAATTTACAGAAAACAAAATTCCGGATACTTTTCACATAGTACGTGTGTTAGTGCTAAATTGGTGAAGTTATTTATATTAACACACATATACACATATTACATATATATTATAAAAGGAGGTCTAGGTTTTTGGTATGTACTAATAAATGCTGGAACTAAATCTTTTTAAATTTGGGCACATATCACTGATGACAAAACATTTTAATGGATCATTTTTTTAAATGCTTACTTCTTTTCTGCTTGTATATCTTCGAGATTTAAATGTGTAATAAAACGTAGACGCAACTGTAAGGTGGGTCGCAGACGCTTAATAATTGCTTCTGATTCATTCTTTATAAAATTTCCAACATAAATGTATTTTATATGATAACTAAAACAAATACTTGTTGATTAAACTTCAATTAAATCAAATGTGAAAGATAAAAACATACAGAAAATCGCAAATAGGATCCATATATTCCAGATTATTAGGACCATGTTGCTTATCCACAACTTCCAGCAATTCATAGAGTAAAATGGCAATACCAGCAACTGCATTTGGCTTCTCTTGCTCTATACGCTGCAAAAATGGACCAAATACATGGCATAGGAATATTAACTGATGTTCAGTACATATGCAAGGTTTTAACTTCTCTTCCAGATATCTTAAAGTGCAAAAAAAGAGAAATAATTAATGATTGCATTTATACGTAAACATATACAAACTTTGTCATTAAAGCCAATTTGAAGCCACCCATATGATGAAACACAGAATGTGCTACTGCCAATACAACGACATAACTCTTATCAATCATTGCTTCACGAACTGTTTTAAAATTGAATATTTGAAAAGCATTAAAGCGATATGTCCATTTCAACATTTTTGGAGATTTCAACACTTCCTGTAGGCGATCATATATGCAACTCCAATATGCTTCTGGTAATGCAGCCAATACAATACCCACAGCATTTATATAGCTATATATTTCCTTTTGTGGAATTTGTGAGTAACCTTTTACAATAATGTCAATAATATTATTTGCCACTACTGTTGGTGCTACTGGCAGACTAAGCAATTCCACGCAAGTAACATAGAGCGCATGAGTTGGTGCATTGGGGAACTCATTAAAACGCCAGTCCGTATTGTAAAATAGATTTTTACCATTTATTGCTGGAAAAATTATTAAAAAATATTTAAATAAATTATTATAGTTAAATAATTTAATTTTTGTACACAATAACACTCACTATCGGATAATCGACGTATTAGCTGTATGTAATAACTAAGCTCCGGATTCCATAAAAGCTCCTGATTTTGTAAAAATGTTTTATACGGATCACTGAGGCACCAATAAGGTGGTCGTATGTCAGTAAAAGCGCCTGTTATGGCACTTATCTGTACAAATAATTCATAACAATAAATATGAATTTTTAGATATATCTTAAAAATAATAACAAACCATTTTCTTTTTAAGTGATGGGCGGTCTCTTAATATATGTTCATAAAAATGGAAGGTATTATACAAATAAGTTATTGGACGATCTATTAATTTTAGATAACATTTTAATTAATAATTAACATTTAAATGAAGTATATATATTTACCATGAAACTTGTACAAAATACTCAGGTGATCCAATATTACTTCTAGTATTTGATGCACATGTTGTATGGGTAATTCTATGAAACGATGGACCACTATGTCTAGCACCGGTAAAAATCTTAAACAAACATTAGTGAAGTACACGGGCAATGGAGTATGTGAAGCAGATTCATCAGGAGCAAATTTTTCAGGATATTTTTGATGGAATGATAAATGTTTTTCGTACCTAAAATTTCTTATTCAATTAAAATAACTAGTTACTAATTTAATTTTAGAATAATACCGACCAATTATTTTGTTTCCAGTGATCAGGATTCGTTTCTTTGCAGAATTCTTGTATGCGGTTTCTTAATTCTGAGGCTTTTAATAAAAGTAACTGTATAATTAAAAAACAAACTTGTGCCTCATTACCCTCCTGTGTACGTAATGATAAGCAGAGTACAACGCGGTCAACAGTAACAACATTATATTTCCAGATCATATTGTTAATTGTGTCGACACACTTATGTATGAAATCTTTGCCATTGGAGTTGGCAACTTCACCAACCAAATAATCGCATAATTTACGTAAATGAGCAGAAAGCGCACGTGCACTTATGCCTTCAAGTATTCTAAAAATATAATCAAAATTTATAGAATTTAAAAAAAATAAAGACGATGAAACAGTATTCAATTAATTAAATTTGTTAAGGTGGTTACGATTATTGTCTCATCATTAGAATTGTGGGACTACAAATGTCAGGATTAGAACTTAAACCTGCTCATTTTGAAGCAAATGACTACCAAAGCTGCACGAAAATTGTTGAAATTTTGATTTTCATGCACATTTTCAATTGTTTCGCTTAAATAGAATACAAATTGCTTACTTATATGCCACAGGACTTATAGTTTCCGTTTCCCAAATCATTTTAAAAAGTAAACATAAAAATAAAGGATTTGTAGTGGGCCGTATGAAATGTGCAATTATATCACTCTCGTTAGACATTGATGTCCAATTGCGGTATTCCTCTTCAACTGATTTCTTCAATAATGTTTTATTTTCTATTGGATGACTATTTTGAGTGAAAAATTCATTTAAGGCTGGAGGAAAACAAGCTAATGAATGTGAAGCCCAAGAGTGTGGGGTATTTTGCATTATTGTGGTCAGTAACTCTTTACACCAGGCCTGTAAATCATCACCTATAAATTCATTAAATTAGTTAAAATATATGTATATATATTAATATTCCTTTTAGTACCGGATCCGGTTATATGCATAGATCGAGCTAATGTCAAAATTAACACGCGATTCAATTCTTCGCTATCTGTAGATACGACAGAACCAGATGGCTTTTCATTTAAATGTCGGGAGAGTTGCGGTTGCACCTCAACGGAGCCTAAACCAGTTATAAGACGCAAAGCGGTTGATTCAAAACTGTAATTGTTAATTAGTCGTTAATATTGTTATAAATTATTTGTAATGCGTAAAAAATCTTACCATAAGTTTAATTGCATTTTATTTGTTTGTGGCACTGGAGCTAAGGAATGTAAGTGCGATAGTAGCTGTACACGATAATGAGTTGGAATATGATGTAAACGAAAAGAGAACATTTCTAGCAGTGTATGTAATATTCCCCATGCATGATGTTTAAAAACAGTTGGAAGTAATTGAGCTATGAAAATTAAATTTAAAATTTTTTTAATTTTCTTATAAAACTTTGATTACACAAGTACAAAGACGTGATTAACTTTATAGTGTGAATGTATGTACAACTAGAATATATAAAGAAAGTTAGGTGTCGTTTTTGATAACGTTAATTATTATAATTAATTATATACCATAAAATTCCAAGTCTAAAATTGACTGGGTTAATTAGTACTACTAATACAAGATACACATGTTTTAATCCGTTGTACAGCAAGACTGAATTTTACTATGGGTTAAAAGATTATGGTTGAAAGTAGGCAGAACAGTGAGTTTGCTGCACAATACGTTACAATTCGTCTATATTACCGCATAATACATAAATTTTACTTAGGTTTATTTAGAATTCTCTTCAACTATTATTATGTTACCACAATACACTCCGAAAATTTAACTTAATTTAATCAATCTTAATTTAAAAAAATTACAATAATATATATATATAATATAATAAATACAAGGCTTAAGGTCGGTTATTTTACAATTTAAATTATTAACAAGTAACAGTTATTGATTGTTAAAATTTTTGTTTATATTTAAAAAAAATATAATTTAATACAAAAACATTTCATTCTAACTCGTAGACCATCTATATTATTTTATGGTAGTAGTAGCAGTAGTAGTAGTATAAGCTTTATTTTACTTCAAAAATAAAATATTTTGCATAGAAATTTATAACAATTACATATAATGTAATATATAAAGCTTACACCTAATTATTTTTATATAATTTTATATAAATATATAATGTATCTCTTAATAAACTCACTTAAAAATCCTTTAATTCCCAAAGATTCTATTTCAGTATAAACAAGAAGACGTGCATAAGTTTCTACAAGAGCAGGAGTTGGAACAGTACTTTTACTCTGTGCTTGCTTAATCATTTGTGTAACAAAACTGCAAATTATAACAAATTATAATTGTTATCAATTAATATTCAGTGCATATTTTTACAAACTATTTATTACCTATGAATAAGCGACATTTTACTGTGTACAGTTAAACTATCAAGAACAACCATTGAAAAAGGAACCGAAGGTACTTGTGTTCCCCCTGTCGTCTTAGTACTATTTAATGCTTCAACCAAAATGTTCATTGGACGTGCAAAGTATTCCTGATTTGTAGAATACGCATTACATATTAATATTATACGAAAATCATTTCCAAGACTAATAGTCATCAAAGTACTTGGCATAACCAAATGTTGTAGAAAACTTGAAAGACATATGTTATAATTAATTAAAGATATTTCTTTTTTAGATGTATTTAATATTTACTCATGATGATTCTTCAAAGCAATTGGTAGTGGACGATTTATGTTCATATTTTCCACACGTGCTTTTTTCATTAAATGTATCCAAATACAAATTGGTGCCATCTGAATAACGAGATTAGAAATAGATTTCAATTAAAATTTAATAGGTTTTAATATTACCTGCCGAAGAGATGATGATTTAGTGCATTCTGGCAACTTTAATGGTTCTTGCTCTGGATATAGTAAATCGAAAAGTTTAAACATTGGTAAGAAATTTGCAATCTATAAAAAAACATACATTAATAAAAATTAACTTAAATAAGAGTTATTAAATACTGGATTTTTCTGTATGCTTCCAGATATGAACTGTAATAAAATCCACATTAGTTGATCACGACCTTTACGTAACTCCATTTTTGAGAGCTTTTTAGAAAAATAAATAATATTATTATGTTTTCTTACATGAATCTATTTCAATTATTAACCTTTTCATATAATGCTAGCACGATTTGCATAAAACTAACAAATTGAAATAATACAAAATATATTAATTGAGATGATAGATGCAACCAAACCCATTCATTATCGGAAATTTGTTCCTCTGGCGCACTAGAACTGCTTGCTGAACTTGATTCAGACGATTCAGTCATTTCCATTGCGCTTATTATTAAACTAACTAATTGCTCTTCCAGAGCATTACAGCGTTCCTTTTGTTGCTTTTGTAAGTTAAGCATAACAGATACCATCTCTTTCGAATATGGTTGATTTAGAACATAGCGTAATAGTTGCGTTTGCTCTTCCAATAGTTCTGGTTCATAAGGCAGACAACCTTTAAAATTAAATTTTAATGTATTATGATCTAATTTCCAAGAATTCATCATATGGTCTGCATATCCAAAATGTTCAACTATTGGTAGCATGTGTGAATGTCCTATTATGGAAACCATTTGTGCTATACTGCGAAATTCTTCCAAAAAATCTGTCATTAATTTATTAATTTTCTAAATGGGCAATATAAGAAAGTATTAAACGTTAAAGCGGTACAATGCGGTAAAACTACTCACCCAATGGTATGGGAATGGTTTCATTATTTCATTTGCTATAAAATATGCCGGCAGCAAACACTTGTTTCTGTCAAATATCAAACGGATTATTTCTTCTAAAGCTGATAGTTGTGGCATGTATATCACATTTATATTCAACGGGAAAGATTGTGCCTTATCACGACATACCTGAAATCATCAACATATATAACTTGTCATTATAATAATGTATTTTCTATTTTAAACAAAACACCTTCATAACTTCACGTACTCCCTTATAGTCCACCTGTGTTATTACTTTCTTTATAAGGCGAAAACATTCAATCCAAAAATCTTTGTTTTCATAAACGAGTTTGTCGCACAATAAGATTTTATCACAGAGCAGTCTACAATATTTCAATATTTAAGTTTAAACTCAAATAATTTAATATTATAAATATATTAACCTTGCGGTTATGAGGTGTGCATCAACCAATTTACTTAGCGTTTTCAACAGCACTCTTAATTGATTTAAATTGGTTGCAGTCGCAGTACGCTGCAGGTACTGCCTCACAAGTCCCTCCTTACTGTCTTGTGGCACACTCCCAAAGCTGGTAACTGTATTTTATTCAACGTAATAAACTAATTAATAATAACAGTTATTTTGGCGCAATTATGAGTTTTACCAATTAAATCCATAAATTTTGTCGAACTAGCCTCCTCATCTTCGGGATTATAAACGATGGCTGACGAAAACAGTACAACCTTTGAATTCACTTTCTATAAAAGAAAACCAAAAACTATTAATATTATTTCTTTTTTAAAGCAAATTATTTTTCACACCAAAAAATTATTTACAGCATCCAAAATTTTTGCCTCCATTGCATTTCATGCTTTAT